CCAAAACTTAGTGACGCAAAAATAAAATCAGGAATTTTTATTGGACTTCAAATTAAATTGATGTGTAAAGATGACAATTTCAAGAAAACTACGTCTATCAAAGAAAAAAATAAAAAAGAAAACAATTACAATGAGCTTGTAAAAGATCTGTTAGAAAGATTTAAAGATCTAGGATGCCGTATAAGTCAAAAACTACATTTTTTGCATGACTATCTCGATTTCTTTCCGGATGGAAATTTAGGTGATGCAAGTGATAAGCAGGGAGAGATTTCACCAGGACCTACTATCGAGGTATCCAGGACGATGGGATTCTGTCATGGTAGCTGACTACTGTTGGTTACTCAAACGTGATGCTGTAATAACTGTGTATAAACGACAGGCTAGTAAGTTTAGATTTCTGCCTATATAAAAACCTAAGATACTGATTTTTTTAAATAATAACTTTTCACTCAAGTATTATCAAAAATAATAAAAAAATAACAATCATACGTAATACTAAGAGTATATTGTTTAAAACTTAAAAAATAATAATACTAGTAAAATTGCAAAGGGGGAAGAAATATTCTCAAAGACACAGCCAAGTGCGCCACTACTGTGCCCCCTGCGATTTATTGAAGAGTCCCATTCCGGTGAATGAAGCCGACGCTGACTTCCACGGGCGCGAATCTACCGTGATGACGGGAAAGGTGAATGGAAAAAATCGAGAGAAATACAGAAAGGCGATCCCTTTATTTACGCTAACGAAATTACAACTACGGAATCTTACAAAATCACGATGGTGAGCGCGCTCGCTCAATCCACGGAACGCGACAGTAGGCGGCGAAGAGGAGCGTAGTCGCTCAACTATCGTACGCGACAAGTCTATAATACTTTAGGAGCGGAATCGCTCAACTATCACGCGCGACAATTCAATTTGCAGCGTTGCGCCGGGCAAGAGCTGGCACGTGAGAGAGATCGCGGAACAATGCAGAAACGAACCCACCGAGTGACTCCTCCCGTGGCTCGCTGGTGGAGAGGCGGCATCGGCGAAATCGCAGTCCCGCTGGCAGCGGCGTCGCTGGATCACCGGCGGCGGCTGGTTGGCAGCTGGCGGCCGGGATCGTCTCCTTGATCATCTAATCGTAGTTGCTGTGAGGCTGCTTAACAGCAGCCGGAGATTCGCCACACAAAGACTCTCTTTGGCTCGTCCTGGGCTTGCTCCCCGACGGCGCGTCGTCCAAGCTTCTTCGCGCCGTGACTTCAATAGCGTACGGTCACTTCTCAACTGCTCTCAATACTTCCCTATGCTCTCCTAATTCTCGCGGCGCGAGCCGCGCTTTCCACGTTCTCGCTTGTTACTCTTCCTCTCACGCTCTTCGCGCTCTCGCTCTTTCTCGCGCCATCTTCTCCGCTGGCCGCACTCTCCCCTCTCCAGGCCCTGCAATGACACGAGCGCGTGAATGCTATGTCACCCATAGCCACGCTCGGCCGCTACATCCGTGCGAGGAGAGTGCCGTATACAGGGCTAGCGAACATCGCTATCAGTCCTGTCACAAAATTAAAAAAAAAACAAAAAAAAGAGAACTCAGTAATCGATACCTTCTCGTGGTTAATTCTAGAAACGCACGTTGCTGCTACAAACGATCGACATTTATTTATAGTGTGAGGGTTGTGAACTTGGGATTTGCTGAGTTTAGGGTTCGTAGATTAAGTGCTGTGTGAAAAATTGTATTTTCAGTGTATTCTCGCCCCTCTTATAAGGGTCGTAAATTTTTTCGAACGACAAATTTGGTAAATGATTTCTTATCATCACTATGAACATTACCGAATTTAAATTATATACAATTTTTTGTTGAAAAATAATGTAATTAGATTTTAGTACAATTTTTTTTCATTCAAACTGTATTTTTACTCCCTTTGGACGGATTGTAATTTTTTCCAGCAAGCAAAATTTGGTTAATATATTTTTTTATCATGAGGGTTGGGAGTTGAAAACCAGCAGGTTACCGGGCTCGTGGATCAGGGAAATTAGATTATAAGAGTCTCTTACACTGCTTTAGGTTAAAATGTTCATCATTGAACCGACGTCTGCTCAAATGCTTACGGTATCAGTGGATATACGAGAGTGAGTCAATAAGTCCTTAGAAAAAGATAGAAAAATAATTTTTTTTTTGGTAGATTTTTTTTATTTTGTAACATAATCTCTTTTTAGCTTGATACCACTCTTCCAGGAATCCTTCAAGTTTTTTTAAGCCATCAGAAAATAATAATTTTGGAAGTTTCTCAAAATAGCCATTTATGTTATGACCTCGTTCGAAATGAATCATTCTCCGGCAAGCCACTTTTTTAGGTTTGGGAATAAAAAAAGTTACTAGGGGCCAAATCTGGTGAATCCGGTGGATGGACTACTAATTTGAACTTCAATTCCTTAATTTTAACCATTGAAATTAAGCAGGTATGCACTCATGCATTATCTTGATGAAACAGAATTTTTTTTGTTCAAATGAAGACGTTTTTCTTTTATTTTCTCGCTTAATCAGTCCAAAGACGACGTATAATACTCTCCGATAATTGTTTGTCCTTTTTCTAAATAGTCGATAAACATAATTCCACGTACATCCCAATAAACAGTTGCCATAACCTGGCCGGCCGATTTCACTGTCTTCGCCATCTTTAGAGCTGGTTGACCTTTCACAATCTACTGTTTTGACTATTCCTTCGTCTCAGAAGTGTAATGGTGTATCGACGTTCCGTCTACAGTTATTGAATCGATGCAGAAAGTCGTTCGGATTACAGTGGATGCGCGCCAAGAGGGCCTCAGCGGCCACCACTTGAATGCGTCTGTTTCGTCTGTTCTCGATTGAGAGCAAAAGCGGCACCCATCTTGCTGAAATTTTTCTCATGTCCAATTTCTCATGCAAAATTGAAATGACTGTAGCTTTTAAAACCCCTGTGGCCTCAACTATTTCACACAATTTTATTCTTCGATCACTCAATACCATGTCGTGGATTTTATTAATCATTTCTGGAGTGCTCTAGTCTACAGGACGGTGTGAACGATGTTCATCAGTCGATGTACGGACGCGTTTAAGTTCATTTACCCAATTGTAAACAGTTGCAAACACAGGGGCAGGTACACCATGAACTGCATCTAACTCAGCTTTGATTTCTTTCGGTGTAAGGCCTTTTAAATAGAAATGTTTTATCACCGTTCGGAACTCACTTTTTTTCATTGTTAACAAGAAACAAAAGTTGTTCACTTTGATTGACAATAAAAACGGAACTACTCAATGGATCTAGTAGAAACTTCGGCAGCACTATAATTAAATTTGGCACTCTATTTAATAGTGACGCTTGCTGGTGCAATACAAGTTGGGATGCTATGAGCACCATCTCTTGGATTTTCTAGACTTATTAACCCACCCTCGTAGGTTAGGTATTTAAAGATGTCCAGTAATGCTGTCCTATAAAAAATTTCAATCATCCACACTAGCTTCATATTTGTAGAAAAAATGTCTCACGGGGGTTCATAATAGGGTATTCTGAGGTTATGGTGCAGTTTCGATAATGAGTATCGATTCGGTGATCCAAATGACAATAAAATACGTTACATCAATTTTTTTAAATGACTCACTCTATTTTCAAGCTTTAAAGAAATTGCTATAACAGTAAACTTTAAATGACGATATCTTAGACAAAAAAAAAGATATTCCAATCTTAAAAAAAAATTTTAGAGGATAAGAGTGCTCCTTTAAGATAGCGTACTCGGTTAAAAAAAAATTTATTCAAGATGTTATTGTACTTCAAAAACAACGAAAAACAGCATTTTTTGCACTTTTAAGTTAGGATATTTGTTTGGTCGAGTTGCCCGGCCTCGCTCGGTTCGAGTCCAGGCTCCCCCTTTCCTCTATCCCCCGACGAGAGGACAACGACGCAGGCCCTGAAGTGAGGGCAAGACTGAAGCCCCTTCCCCGAATGACGTCACCGCCGTTGCTAAGCTCTGTTTGCTTGGAGCTTTCGGCCAGCATTGACCTGCGTTCTCCACCGCCAGAATCATCATTCAACGCGACTGTGTAACCTTGCCTGTTTTGTTACCACAAGTAGAGACCAATAAAGCAACCAAGTTAAAAGATCTCGTATCGGCGTCACCTCATTCCCGACGGGATTACCGCCTCAGCCCCCGCGCCAGCGCCTCAACATTTTGGTCCTTCGAGCCGGATACCGGATCGAGGTAGGTACCCCATTTAATTGAGGCTGAACGTCGGCCTAACGGCGGGCGGCCGCGCCTGGACCGAAGCCCGGCGTCGCCGCGACTTCAGGCGCGGCCCGGAGGCGAGGCGCCCTCGCCTCAGCCCCGGCTTCGACTCGCCCCGACCAGCCCAGCTGTCGGCGGATGAGCGTCCTGGCTAGGTGACCGCCAGCGACGCGCATGAGACGGGTCGAGGGAGGCCGGACTTTCGAGGCCCGGCTGGGACCGACCGCGTGCGCCGGCGAGGACCCGGTGGCCACGTCGAGCTCGGCGACGGCGCCTCGGGTGGACGACGGCGATGCCAAGCGGCATCCAAGATGGCCGCCGCCAACAGCAGCAACGCCAAGCGGCGTTCAAGATGGCCGCCGCCGACAGCAGCGACTCCTCGCCGGCACCGACGCGCCGTCGTCACCCTACCAGGGCTCCGCGAGCCCCGGTCGACACCTGACCCCTCCCTCGAACGGCCCCCAGCCGCATCACGGCTGTGGCTCTCGGTCGTCGCGGACGTACGTCCCGTCGCCGCGCCGACGACGACGACACGCGTCCGGCCGACACCCCTGAGCGGAGGAGCCGGAGAACGCGCGCTGAGCCGGAGTGTCGGACGCCCGACCCTGGCCGACAGACGGCGACTCCGTCCCCCTCCTCCGCGCCACGCGGCCTCTAAACCCTCATCATCTTCCAGATAAGTCTCACTGCCATCCAGGAAGCACTATTTGAAGTGCTGCGACAGACGGCGGATAGGGTCCGCGGCTCCCCGGCCGATCAATGGACAATGGGGCTACTCCAGACGCGGCTCCAGCTTGTGGAGAGATACTGGGCCAACTTCTGCGACAATCACGTCCGCCTCCTGACCTCGACCGAGGACGACGCGGACGCCTACCGCGGCAGCAACCGCTACTTCGTCGCCGAAGACCTGTACTCCTCAATCAAGGGGAACCCCATCAACCTCCGGGATCGTCTAATCGCATCGGAGATCGGGTCACCGGGCCCCGCCTCGACCCCCTCATCCAGCGCTGCCGGAGGCCTTGACATTCACGACGGAGGAAACTTCGCCTTGGCCCGGCTTCCCCGCATCACTCTACCTCGGTTCGGAGGCCTCGACGAAGAGTGGGAGTCATTCAAGGACCTCTTTATCGACATCGTGCACTCCAACACCAGCCTGGGAGATGCCACGAAGATGTTGTTCCTCAAGACGAATCTCGACGGTGCGGCGGCCGAGACAATCAGGGACTTCAAGTCGTCAGGACACGACTACTCCACGGCCTGGGAGGCCCTCTGCAGCCGCTTCGATCAGCCAAAGCTGCGCGTGCGAGACCACCTCGACGCCCTACTCCACCTCGCACCGCTCGCCAAGGAATCGCCGGAGAAGATCCAGGAGCTTTGCTGCACGATGAGACGTCACCGCACCCAGCTGGAGAAGCTCGGCCAGCCAGTCGGCAGTTGGGACGACTGGTTCGTCCATCTCGGCAGCCGAGCCATGGACCCTGCCACCCGAAGAGTCTGGGAGGAGGAGAGAGAGGAGAAAACCAGCAAGCCGACCTTCGAACAGCTGGGGGAGTTCCTCCAGCGGCGGTTCAGGACGTTGCGGTCGCTGTACCCCCCGACCTCCACCCTCCCTCAATCGGCCAGCGCATCCGACGCATCCCGCAAGGCTGACCAGAACCAGGGGCGCCAGCCGAGCGGCCGACAAGTGCGGGCCCACACCACTGGCCTCAAGCGGAGCGGATGCCCGGCCTGCAAGGAGGCTCACTATATTGGCCACTGTCTGACCTTCCGCGGACTGACGCCTGAGGAAAGGAGGAAATTCGTCTCGGACCGCGGCCTCTGCTTCAACTGCTTGAGTGGCTCGCACTCGGCCAGGACCTGCCCGTCAAACGGGACTTGCAGAAGCTGCTCCGGGGCCCACCACACTCTCATCCACGAAGGAGCAGGCCGGCCGGTCAGACGTCCCGTCGACCGCGACGAGGGCGAGGATCCCGCGCCAAAGGCCCCCCGCGTCCAGGCCGCCGTCACCCGAGCCTGTCCACAGGTCTCGGCGAGGGAAGAGGAACGGTTATGACTGTCCCTCCTTCCCACTGCCGTTGTCCAGGCCAGCAGCGACGGCTCACCGCCGGTGCCGGGCAGAGCACTCTTGGACCCCTGCTCCGAGGCAACCCTCCTGAGCCTCACCCTCGCCCGCAGACTCGGCTGCAGGCTGCGCCGCGTCCGAGTCGACGTTGTCGGAGTCGCCGGCCCTGCCATGGACTCGGCGAGACACCAGACGATGCTGCACCTCAGATCTCCCTCCAGCGACCGACTGATCCGCGTTGAGGCGCTCTTCCTGAGAGATGTCGGGATCGTCACCCCTTCCGGAGCCATCGAGAAGCCCCGCCCGGATCCGCGGGGAGAGTTGTCCCTCGCCGACCCTCAATTCGCCCGTCCGGCCGGAATTCATATCGTCATCGGTGCGGATGCCTACGGCCAGATCATCCCATGGAGCGTTCGGAGCTACGGTCCGCTTCTGGCCCAGAACACTGTGTTCGGCTGGACGCTCACCGGGCGCGTGGGCGCCGCTCGACAGGCCGACCAGGGCGTTGCCCTGTCTTGCGCCACTCTGTCCATCCCGGGCCCAGCGACCGGCCACGAGCTCCTCCTCGGCCTCGTCTAGAAATTCTGGTCTCTGGAGGAGGTACCCCAGACGAGAAGGATCTCTGCCGCCGACGTCGAGTGCGAGGCAGCGTTCGCTCGAGGATGCAGCCGAGACCCCACAGGGCGCTACACCGTGGCCCTCCCGCTACGACCGGAACGCGTCGCTCTCCTCGGGGAGAGCCTGAGCCAGGCTCGTTCCGCCCTCGCCTCGATGCACCGCCGGATGCAGCGGGACCAGGAACTGTCGGGCCACTACCACGAGTTCATGGCCGAGTATGAGAACCTCGGGCACATGCGGCGTCTCACTGCCGAGGAGCTCACCGCACATCAGGGACCGGCCGTCTACATCCCGCATCACGGAATCTGGCAACATCACGATCAAGGACGGAAACTGCGCGTCGTATTCAACGCCTCGAGACCCACATCCTCCGGATACAGCCTGAACGACGCGCTGCACGCCAGGCCGAAGCTACAAGAGCACGTGACTACCGTGCTCACTAGGTGGAGGCTGCACCGTTACGCCTTTTGCGCGGACATCCAGATGATGTTCCGCCAGATCCGCGTGAGGCCAGAGGACGTCCACCTCCAGAGAGTGCTGTGGAGCCAGGATACAGACTCCCCCGCCCACCACTACGCGCTGCAAACCGTCACTTACGGCGAGACATGTGCACTTTACCTGGCCCTCCGGACCATCAGACAGCTCTGCGCCGACGAGGGCGCCCGCTTCCCACTCGCCCGAGAGGCCGCTGAGAACGACCTCTACATGAACGACTTCCTCAGCGGCGGCCACAGTTTGGAGACAATCCGACGCCTCAGGGACCGTGAGGGCCCACCGGCTGCTGACCGGGTCAACGCCCAACTCGCCCAGACCTTTGGGGCCCGTCCGAGCTGCTGACCTCCGCTGGGCCTTTCTCACCTGCGCCCGCCTCTCGCAACGTCAAACCTTCGCGGATGAGATCAAGCTCCTCCAAGGACCCGCGCCCCGGCTCCAGGCCTCACTCAGAGCGCTGGAACCCTTCCTAGACGAAGACGGACTCCTGAGAATGGGCGGACGCCTCTCCCAATCTCCACTGCCCTATGACGAGCGCCACCCCGTTCTCCTGGACGGACGCTCGCACCTGGCAGAGCTCGTCCTCCGATGGGCCCACGCTCGCAGCCTGCATGGAGGCTTTCGCTCTACCTACGCGAGAGTCCTGCAGAAGGCGTGGATCACCGGCGGCATGTCGCGCGTCAAGCGCCACCTTCGCCAGTGCCTGATCTGCGCCCGGATCTCCGCAAGGACCGCCGCCCAAGGGATGGCCCCCCTTCCCGCGGTCAGGGTGACCCCCTCGCGGCCCTTCAGTCACTGCGGCGTGGACTATGCCGGCCCATTTCCACTCTGCCGAAGCCGCGGACGGGGACTCCCTACCATCAAGGGATACGTGGCACTTTTCGTGTGCATGAGTATGAAAGCGATCCACCTGGAGCTCGTCAGTGACCTGACGACGGCCAGCTTCCTCGGAGCCCTCACCCGATTCATCGGGAGGAGAGGACGCCCAAACGAGATCTGGAGCGACAATGGCACCAACTTCCGCGGTGCCATCCTAGAGCTTCGACGACTGCTGCAGGAGGCCGAAATCGACTGGGGGCTGGTCGAAGGGACGCTAGCACAGGACGGCGTCTCGTGGAGGTTCATCCCCCCCGCTGCCCCTCACTTCGGCTGACTCTGGGAGGCCGGCGTGAAGAGCATGATGGTCCACCTTCACCGCATTGCCGCCCCCAAAAGACTCACCTACGAGGAGTTTACCACGCTCCTCGTCTCCATCGAGGCCACCGTGAACAGTCGACCACTCGCGCCGTCCACCGGAGACCTCGACGATCTGGACGCACTGACACCGAGCCACAGTAGTATAGGCTATAAGGGTTCTAAGCCACTTTTACCATGTGAGTATTCATTCCTTCCTTACCAGCAGTCGGTAACATGATTAATCCTGCCTTACCGGCCACTGAAATGTTTTATCTGCCGATTTTGTATCGACGGTTTGCATTGTAGCCGACCGAGCATGTGCATGTGTATGTGTATGCTCGGTCGGTAGTTATCGACGTGGGTGATGCAGGCCCCATGCCCCCCCGGCCCTATAGCCCTCTCCCTCCCCCCAGATGATCGATCGATGATGCGTCAGATTGATGAAAGAAAAAAAAGATATATGTGATTAAGTGTGTTTTGGGGGGTGTAATATTATCGACGGTGGCGTACAGGCATGACGCGCCCAGTCGGTATATCTCATGGAATGAGATGGGGGATAAGGTTTATCATTATTATTAAAAATATTGAATACCTTTAAAATTTTTAAAACACATTTATTTGATAAAAAAGTATACATGTTTATTATATTATAATACTTATACAAGTTTCGTAATGTTACCACTTATTGGATTATACTTAACTATACGATCGTGTAAAATTAAACAATATGCAGCTGTTTCCGCAGGTATATCATTTTTTGTTTCAAACTCTAGACGTACATCTACAGCAGCTTGTTTCAATGATTCATTTTGCTTAGAACAATCTATTACTATTAGAGGTGCATGCGTAATAAATTGTTTTCTTTTCAAAAGTGGATTGTACATACAGTCTCTGTTGTAATAATTCATTTGAAAATTAGCATACATGTCATATAGCATAGAATATTGATTATTACTTATATCAAGATTTAAATTTCCATACGGATATTGCTGAGAATTGAGAAAAAGTTTAACATTGGTTACACTGCAATGATCAAATCTGCTGGGATTTTTAGTTTGATCAGACTTGCGTTTTGTTTGAAAACCTAATATAATATATCTTGGTTTTTCTAATTGATTGGATGTTTTTACTGTCCAAAGATGTTTTGACGTTTGTGGTAATGCTGGATACTCATAAAGTTCCCACGATCGAAAACTCATAGAAATAGGAATATCCTTTTGAATGAAATTGAATAACTATATTTTACACTTATCTGACGTAATTACATAAGGCATCAACCATTCGATTCGTATGAGTTCTATTTTAAAAGGTTCATATTGCTCAGTATCATCAATTTTCACCAAGTTTTGTATGACTGCGTTTAAATTATCTCTTGATCGGGTAAGAATAAGTTCATGCTTTACATTCACAACAATTTTGTGATAGTCTTCAGCGAATCCTAAAATCATGGAAAGTGGTATCGACACATCAAAGTAACCATTGTTGTCAATTATTGTCTTAGTTTCTTCAATATCAAGCCATCCGGCATTTTCGAGGAATGCACTTTGATTTTGATTCAATGAAATCAAACCTTTCATAGTACTTGTCAATCCAACATTTTTACATCTGTCTATCTTAATGGCATTAATTTCATAGCGGATATCTTCGAATAGATGGCATATAGCATTATTTACGAACTTTGTCTCATTGTCAGTAACAGCATTACCATCACTTCTTCTTATTTTTCCTACAATGTGTAGAGAACTTTTCGATGGTAAGAGACATAAGTCTTGATGTTGTATTAATATACGAATTTCATCGCTATTGTTAAATGCTTGTGAATTGTAAGGTTGATGTGCATGAACTTCATAATGAGCTATAGATTCATCAAAGATGATAGGTGCTTGCACACTAAGTATTTCTTCCATCTTTGAAATGACAACAGCATACAAATATACACGTTAATTTTTTAAACTGTTAACGTTTCTTTTTCTTCTTTTTGTTGCGACGTCTCGAACAATCTTCAGCCCGAGACTTTTCAGGAACTGAATGTTTCGACGTGTTAGACCTCTGACTATCCGTCGATGACTGACTTTTTGAGCGCATAGCGGTGTTGTTATATAGCCACTCCCTACTTTAGCATTATAAACTATTCCCATTATACTCTCTTTATATGTAAACGAATCGTGATTACTTCTCCACGAAAGTTTATTAAATTACCGTCTTGGTCAATTAGTCGTAGCTGTAAATGATCAATAACTCTGACTCTTGGAGGTAAATATATAATCTGTTTAGGAACTTCAATGATCTTATATCCTGGTGGTACAGCTGGAAAGAATTCATGAATGATATGACCTCTATTTTGATTAATATAAGCTCCAGATGTTATATTACATTCAACGCGTAGAGCGTTTACTTTGAGAATGGTTACAGGCATGTCGGAGACATTATTTATATTGGTTGGCAACAATCGTTTAGTGAAACCTAATAAACGTCCTATAGAGTTAGTTGGTCGAAAATCGACAAATTCATTGCAAATTATTTCACTGCATAAAGTATTGTTATTAGGTTTTATTTCAATTTTTATATCTGTTGACTTTAACTTTTCTTTCAAATATCGATCTATGTCACCAATTTCATAACTACCTGTAGGTAGTTCAATTTCAATATCACCAACTTTGAATTTATTGTGTCCGACGTCAATATTTGGTATCGAATTAAATGTAAGTAATTCTACCAAACCAAGAGTATAAGTTTTATCTTTATCCAGTTCTATAGGTGGAAAATAGTATGTTTCTAATACAGATGATGTACCAGACAAACTGAGGGTCAATGATTCAACCATGTCGAGTGATTGTACACAACTGAATTCTTTATTCACAATTCTTACTATTTATACAAATGATAATTGTCATGATGTTCTAACAAATTACATAAAAATTTTAAACATAAATGGCCACAGGTGTAAGTATTATAATTTTGATATTTGTTATAATTGTACTTGATTTGATCAACTTTGAAATATTTCAAGAGGTCTAGAGGTGGTCGTAAATCACCAAAACTATCAAAGTAGAAGACATTTTTACCATTTTTTCGGTATGCCACCCAATGTGTACCTGGTCCAGAATTATCATCAAGGTTTACAACTGCACACTCGTTGATGCGTGGTCGCGTGGGTAGAGAGTTTCTCATAAAAACACCACGAAAGTTTGGAATTCGTAATTCATGAGCATACTTTTTTATATCGTAATCTGTTAAAGGACGATGTGGCAGTTTTAAATCAAAGTTTTTTTTTTTTAATGTCTTTGTAATTTTTTTTTCTTAATAACTTTATTTTTAGGCTTCTTGACTTTACTATTTGTACTGAAGGCTAAACCAAAACATTTTTGATATGGTCTCAAATATAAACCTTTACCAAGAGCTAAAGCTTCAACACGTTTGTTATGCCTCGACTGTTCTTCTAATTGTTTTTTAGCAGCGTTCGCTCGGTTTACAGCTTGTGCTATTCCTGCTGCACCACCTGCCAAAGATCCAAGTGCGCTAAGTCCCGCGAAAACAGGAACGAGTGCTGGTAGGAAACCTCCAACTTTAGGGATTGGAAGTATTCTTGGTAAATTAATATTTTTCTTTCCACCAACATTTTTTATGGTGTTTCGTGCTGCGTTTAAAGCACTCTTGATAACAATTTTCGAATCATTGCTAGGAGTTATACATTTTTTTGTCATGCTGATAAGTTTTTTCATTGTTAAAGTCTTTCTTTTTTTAGAATTTTTTTTCGACGAAGTCTTCCTTTTCTTAGAACGCTTCTTGCTAAGTCCCATTCCGAACATTGATTTTGCTTTCATGATGTTTGTAACGGCATATGCTGCAGCTCTTTCACTTAAGTTAGCGTCAGAACTATGTACACGTTGCCAAGCTTTTTCAGCCAATACTTTGTCTGCAATGTTTCGTGCTTGAATATCCTTATTTTTAGAGTAAGCAATGTCGTGATCTTTACATGCAGCGTCCAGAGGATTAATGCCAGGGTCTCCTCGATTTAATCGCTTATATAGTTTTGTACCAGGTCCGCAATATTGATAACCTGGTATGTGAGCCTCAAAGGGTAGATTATTTATCAAGTTATTTACTAAACCTCTACCAGTCTTCCTTTTCTTTTTTCTCTCGTGGGCGATAATGGTCGAGTGTTTAGT